GCTGTAAAGCTGGCATATCAGGTGACGCCACGGTTTGACGTTGCTGTGTAGAATGGGGCTAGCCCAACCGAAGTGATAAATGTATAGGCCATTAATGGTTCAGGGTCTTTCATTCTTCATCTGCCTGCGCGCAGGATTGGAGGTGGAAGATATCTGGACGTGTAATGTTAATTTTACCTGTGATTCTTTGAATAAACCAGCACGGTTATTTTTTTATATATCCAAGTGGTCCGCTTCGTCTCTGTGAGTTCCTGGTTAAAAGAGCCGGAAAAAGATTACAACAAAAATAGCTTTCACAGCTGACCAGAGCAGTAGTCAAAACATGAAGAAAATCAATGTGTGATTGTTCGTTGATTGTGTGGTGTGTATCTAAGACATTCTGACAGGACATCCAGTGACATGTCATGACATTAAGCATAAAAAGATATTATGATTACAATTATGATTAAACACGTCATACAGTAATCAACTTTCTATCTAGTTATCCTTGAACATAAACAACCTGGAGTCCCCCATGGGAATGACTAAGCATTTTAACAGCCTGAGCTGGACATCCTGTCTACACTAAACATTTCTAATACAACAAGTACCTGACCAATGTCTATCTGACTAAAAATACCTAACAACTTCTTGAGCTTCCAACAAAAGAATTGGGTTATTTCTAACAAAGACCAGACAAGTTGGCGATGGCTTGTATGAGAGGAGTGGCAGAAGGAAGAAGCATCAAGATAGCCGGTATGCTGAGGGCCGAGACACCGCCACACAACAAGCAGCAGCCCTGCCAGTCATTTCCCCCGACAACAGAGGTGACGACTCCCATGCAGCCTGGAGGGGGCAGACTCGGTGCTACGTACTCCCCTACAGCAGGACCAGGTGGGGGCCCCAACAGATGTGGGGTCTCACCAGACTCTGGCCCAGGATGCTTGCAGCCCAGGAGATATCTTTGTCCCTGGTGTGCTGGTGTGGGTGTATGGCCCTTGACTGGAGAAGGTCTCTTCTCCATAGTCAGCGAGCCAGTGTGTCGGTGAGTGTACTGTGCTGAAAAGACCATGGCCTTGTGAACAAACAAACGCCACAAAAATGCCCTTTAAAGTTACCCTACAGTTGTATAAAAGTGATAAAATGATCTCTAATGTTCCCCCATAGTGATGCAAACCCAATGAAGTGCCCGCTGATCTGCCCCTACAGTAGAACAACCCTGATAATGTGCCCTCTGATGTGTCTCTATGGTAGAGCAAAGTGCTCAGCGTCTGCACAAAGGAAAAACAGCAAAGTTTTGTAATGGCTGTTTTAGTTTCTGAATAGATTAGGAAGTGTCCCAAAGTACTTCTGTGTGTGACAGTCTGGGGTGAAGTGTCCTTACGGGTGATCTTTTCAGTGGAAGAAAATGCTATTGCCCTGTACAAAGATAAAGTGGCCTTTAAATAAAGATATAACCCAGTGCCCTGTGAGGTGTTTGCATTTGTAATGGTCAGTGCTAGTGACAAACAAATGGAAGAAAAAAAATGCATGCTTTACTTTACTGAAGTACAGAATTGGGTCCCCTGTCAATCTAAAAAAAATCCTTCCCATCAATAAATATAAAATATGAAGTGCCCTCTACTACAGGGTGCACTTTATAAGAGAAAAACATTAAGTGTCCTGTGAAGCACTGTGATGTCGGTGAGCAACTAATTTCATTTTTTGTGTATGCGAGGACATGGAAACGACAATAAAAGGAATTTACTTTTGAATTTACACTTCATAAGAGGAAGATTAGCATTGGGATAGTCTATGATTACAGAATACCAAACGGAGAGAGCTTACTGAAGAAAAAATGATACAAAATGCAGCCAGAGGCGACACTTCACTGAAGGGTTGGATCCAAAGCTGCAAAAATGAGGGTGATCAGATGGATATCAGAGAGATAAAGGCAGTTTTTAGACATGGGCCATACAGGCAGTTGCCTGTGTGTCTCATTGTTCCATAAATAAACAAAAAATAAAATAAAAGCAGGAGACTACACACAGACTGTGGACGGACACCAATTGTGTGATAGATTTTTCATGTTTTTCTGCTTTTCTGAGCGTGTGGTTCATTTGCTCACACCACTATGTAAGAATCAGATATGAGTAACCAGGTTATATGTTCCATGCATTCATTTCCTTTAGACTTGTCTTCACCTTAGCCATAACCTCTACTTGCCTAACCCTAACTCTGACCTTACCCTAACCCTAACTTTAAACCAAGTTGCCACCCTTAAATTCCGCGATTTAACACTAAAGGTCATATTACACAGCACACCATGTTGAATGTATCAGGTGCCCTTCATTGTTTTTCGCCCCGTCCCTCTGACAGCCTGAGTCCGCCACTGGCTCAGGGTGTAGTGCGACCAATCTGACATCAGCTGAGGCCGGTCCAGGCGTTGTAGGCGTTACTCCAGCCTGAAATGCTGCAACTTTTCCAACTTCAGGAAAAACTGCGCAGTTAGTTCAGTGCTTTGCAGTGCGCTGCAGGTATCATACAATACGACTGGCCACCTCTTCCACTTTCTCTACCTTGCTTTGTTTTATCATGCACAACAACCATGTTACACATCTGGTTCTCTACCTTCTCTGCATCGGATTCACGGGTAAGTACGGACTTACAAAACTAAAGGCATAGATTCTACGTAGTGTACGTTTGTTTCTCTTAGGTAACAACTGACACTTCACTTTCCTCAGTCAAACAACAGAGTGTTATTAAAGATCAGTTCTAAGCAGTCACCTGTGTTACGTCCTGTGTAAGATTAGCTCGGACAGCGACTGTAAGTTGGTGAATAATCACTGCAGGAATGAGCCGGTGTTCAAGGTGAACGCGTGGCCCTGTTAACGGGACACTTTCAGCCAGATGCGTCAGCGGTTGCTCGTAGATACACAGCTGTTGAAAACCAGAAGAGGATCCGTAGCTGTCCCCGTGAATTCCGCTCCGAATATTTGTCATTTGATCGTCAAATCGTACTCATTTAATTTGTCTTTTGAGTCATATTTAAGTAAAGGTGTCAGGTACAATAAATAGTCGCATCTTTAACGTTGCAGGTAGTTACCGAGGCGGTTCACAACAGGAAAAGTAGAAGTGGCTTTCCTCATAATTTTGTCTCGTTTATTTCTATTAAAATGTCTAACGTATTTGATATCTTTGGGTTCTTGCTTGTAACCCTGTCAGGTAGCTATGTAAAAACATTCGCATGTCAGTCGCATTTTGAACGTAAAATTAAAATGAAAACTAAAAAGAGTAAACCCAGTGAGTCACCATGATAAAGACTTTAATAGCTCATACAGTTGTGTCTTACCTTGAAAGGAGCAGCTGTGTGATACACTACAGCCAAAACCTACTACAGTCATACATTACATCCTTAGGCCTATGTGATTAATTCAATGACCATCTCATTCCACGAACACTATAATGCATCACTAATTATAATCCAGTAATATAAATGTGAGAATGTGCATAATGAATACTTTTATTTTTGGTACTTGATGCAAATACCTTTTTGCTTTTACTTACATCATATTTTGAATGCAGGACTTTTACTTAGAGTATTTTTACACTGTGGTACTTCTAATTTAACTTCAGTAAACAATCTGAGTACTTTTTCCACTGCTGGTTTTTTGGTAGCTGTGTGTGTGGGGTATGTACAACACATCTCTTGTATGGAATAAGATTTGAGACCATCGAAAATAAAGAAAATGAACTAAAATAAATAAAAATTCATTCAAACAAAAAGGTTACAATAGTTCCCACTTTTCTTTCACTGTTTTTTTTTTTCATTTTCACTGTCAGCTGTCACTTTTTCCAGTTTTGCTGCTCAATTTTTCAGTGTAGCTTTTTTCAGTGCCCATTCTGGCACAAAGCTCTCTGTGGGCAGGCGTTACAGGGCTGCCTCCTCCATGGTCAGCAGCTTTTCTGCTGGCAGCCAGTGGCCAGAAAGTGGTGTCACTCTAGCTATCTTCCCTTAGCCACGTGAATCTATAAAACTTTAATGTGTTGAATGCAGTTACTAGAAGATGAGTAGCCAAAATACAGTAATTGTCTTTTGACTTGCGTCAGAACAACTTGATGTGACTACAAATACGCAGCGTGAATGTGGGGTGGTTAGCGTTGTCGCCTCACAGCAAGAAGGTTCTGGGTTCGAGCCCTGGTCGACCCGGGGCCTTTCTGTTGATTGTGCATGTTCTTCCCTGCGTGGGTTCTCTCTGGGTACTCCAGCTTCCTCCCACAGTCCAAAGACATGCATCTTAGGTTGACTGGTGACTAAATTGCCCGTAGGAATGTGTGTGGTTGTTTGTCTACATGTCAGCCCTGTGATAGACTGGCGACCTGTTCAGGGTGGACCCTGCCTCTTGCTCAATGTCAGCTGGGATTGACTCCAGCTCCCCCTGACTCTATTCCGGATAATCCCTTAACCTTTTCGCTGTGAGGCAGCAGCACTAACCACTGCACCACCATGCTGCCTACAGTAACATTAGCTGTCTAAATATACTCATGTTTACTTATGCTTAGAGGTTGCCCAGAAAACAACCGGTTGTGTTGTGTCACATCTGTCTACTTTTGGGTGCACTGCTTCTGGTTTTACTACAACAGATAAAGAGCACACACCATTGTATTATGTGCCATGTTAGTAACATGTTTGCTAGCTTTAGCTACAGAGTGGGTTACGTCAGTGACTTTCCTAGCAACCTCCGCCTGGAGAGGTCCACTGACAAATGCTACTAATATTGTACAGTACTTTACAGCAAGGCAGCGTAATATGTAATACAGGACCAGCTTAATTACACGATGGCCTGTCAGTTATATCAATAATGCAGACATACAATAGTTGCAACTTCTGCTTGCAAGATGGCTCCCACCGAGGCAGACGTGTTTGCACAAATGCTCAAATGCCAGCTTTTTCTTTGTTTTCTTCTTTTTTGTGTTTTTTACTCTTTCTGCAGTGCACAAATGTCATGCACTGCTAACATACAACAGAAAGGCATTGCTGGATATCGCCAACTCACACAGCCACTGGGAATTTACTGGTTTCATACCACCGGAGCTACAACTCATTGTCTGCTTCCGCAACAACAACAACGACGACAACCACCATCATCCTCAGGGAGCCCCTGGAGCAAAGCTAAAAGGCTAAAAGCTTGCGCTACTTGACCACCACTACCCAGCCTCTTCCTAGCTAACGTACACACTCTGTTATTAGTACTCTTATTAGTAAAAAACAAACTGGACGAGCTAAGGGCTAGGATTACAGCACAACGGGTGTGCTGTGTATGCTAGCCCAAGAGCTAAAGCCTCTGTGACTCTCAGCAAACTCTATGATGTCATCAACGCGCTAGAGACAGTGCACCCCGATGCTGTATTTATCACTGCAGGCGACTTTAACCAGTGCAATTTAGACTGTACTCCCCAAATATTACCAACATGTGAACATTCCCACTCGGGGCAAGAACACTCTGGATCATGTTTACAGTAACATACGGGGTGTATACAGGGCTGCACCCCGCCCCCACCTTGGGCACTCAGACCACATTTCTTTGTTCCTGTATCCAGCTTATAGACAAAGACTGAAACAAACCCTGTCACCAAACAAATTAAACTCTGGACCCCAGAAACTGAGGGCACCCTGCAGACTCCTTCGCCCAGACAGACTGAGATGTGTTTAAAGCTGTAGCCACCTTGGAGGACTTTTCTGTCAGCGTACAGGACTATGCTGAGTATGTGACTGGGTACATTAGTACCTGTATTGACAACATTGTGCCCACCATACAATTCACGAAGGTTCCCCAACCAGAAACCCTGGATAAACAGTCAGGTATGCCTCATGTTGCGTGCTCGCTCTCATGCATTCAGATCAGGTGATGAGATGGAGTACAAAGCTGCGAAGTACAGACTGAGGAAAGCCATCACAGCGGCCAAGAGGCAGTACAGAGAGAAGCTGAATGGCTTCTATTCTACTGCTGACTCCGGACGGATGTGGCAAGGCCTGCAGCACATCACAGACTACAGGACCACCACCAGCATCATCAGCTCCACAGACAGCCTGCCAGATGACCTCAACACCTTCTACACCCGCTTTGAGACCTCCAGCCACAGCACAGAGAGGAGGTACACACACACCACCCAACCCCCCCACCTCCCCTCCACTGACTGTATCACCAGGCATAGTCCTGAGGAAGATCAGTCCCCTGCTGCAAAGCGGCAGGACCAGACAACATCCCTGGGAGGGCTCTCAGAGTGTGTGCCAGTGAGCTGACTGATGTTCTCACCACCATCTTCAACCTC